TTTTCTAGACCAAAATGTCTATAGGGGCGGATATTCTGCGTCTTACAATCCCACCGCCTAGGGTGCCTAATGGAATGTTTTCCGTATCTGAAGATGGCGATTACCTTGTTGGATTCAAAGATGCCATTGGAATCTATGTAAGATCTCACAGTTTGTTAAAAAAGTAATATCCCGTTTATTGGTGGTTTGGTCAGTTTGTCTTGTGGGTGCTCCAACTTTCGGTCGTCTTTACGCTTGTTGTTTGAACTATAGCTTCACTGCATAATTACATCGCCACTTCCTGCAGTGAATTTAGCCGTTTCAACTTGGAGTAAAATGAGAGAGAGATAAGCCTGGAACGTGAACGACTGGAAAATATTGAACTACTTGTACTTGTTGTGGCTGCGATTGTGGTTGATCTAGCCGGCCCCGATGATGCACCGTACGGTGCTCCTCCATACGCGACCATCCGTGGCAGCAGACCTGGGCAGTTCTATCCATTCTCTTCGCCAGTGCATGAGACCGAATACCGAGGGTCCAATAACCACTCCTATGCCCCGACGGACTGAATCGAGCCAATTTTTTAGCTGACTCACCTCCCCCCCCCTTGGACGTTTCCCATTAGTTGACAGTTTTGGGTCAAGGGCAGTAACACTGAGCTTGTGAGGTTCCCGGCGAAGAACGTGTCCTTACCACCCCAGCCGTCTTTCTTGGATGGCCTGGGATATCCTTGCGATGTTGTCGCAGCAAGTGCGGACTGTTTCATTTGAGATGAAGTCGGTGCATTTCACTCGAAGGATGGTCCTCAAGCGGTAGTGGTCAACGACTTCCAGTTTTCGTTCATCTTCCATGCGCATAGCCCAGCATTCGCATCCCTATAGAAAAACAGACCGTACAGATGCACGGTACACGCGGATATTTGTGTAGATAGAAATATCACGTCTAGTTGCGTTAATTCGGGAGACAAGGTCATCCCTACTCTGTCAATTCGGCAACAAGCGCGCTTCGAGGTATTTGAAACTGTCGACTACTTCAAGTCTACAGCCGCTAATCTCGACAGGTGCCTTTTCTTGGGCAGGGGTGCAGCACAAGAACACTTTGTTCTTCCCAACGTTTATGGATAAACCGACCGATTTCGCGACCTCGTTCACTCGTGACACAATAGAGTGAGGATTGTCAAAGCTCGAAATTTGTAAAGCAATATCATCGGCATATTCGAGATCAGCCAACGGGCACCCGGGTGCAAGCTCATTTTCCTGTGGGGCCTTTCCGAGAACCCAGACAATGGTGTAGTTAAAGAGGATGGGTGGCAGGACACTGTCTTGTCGAACGCCAGGCCGAATAGCTAAGAATTCTGAGAGGTTGAAGTCTAGTGCATTATCGCGTTTGCTTCCTTTACATTTCCTACTTTAATGATCTACCGTGCGCATATGATCTCAGGTGTTTTCTGGTGGACAAGGAACTAGGAAGCTCCTGTAATACTAGAGGTCTCACGCCAAATTCCAGTCACTCCAACTATTTCCTGCGAGAAAAATGGCGCATCCCGTTTATTCACACGAGATCCAAAGAGTAATCGTTATCGACTCCCAGCAACAGTAACTTGTTTGCTCTTCTCATGCATCCTTTGTTATCTAGCCTCGATTTCAGTTTTCGCTAAAATGGTGACTGAATTAAACGCGCTTTTTTCTTATGTCACCATTACGGGACAGCGCAGTTTCCCCACGAACTAATTGAGTCGATTGGCCCAATTGTTAAAAAGTTCTTGGCCTCGGTGGGAGTCGAACCCACACAGCAGGGAAAGCTTTTGCGCAATCAACGCTCTACCATTGAGCGCACGGTGAGCCTCGTAGCTCAATGGTAGAGCGTTGGCTGCGCAAAAGCCTTCCAGGTTGTGTATTGGGTTCGACTCCCACCGAGGCCGATAATTCTTCGCAATTGGATGGTCAATCGAAGTATTGATAGTTGTCGAACCCCTTATACCTAATTGGCTGCTAGAAGCTATTTGGAGCCTGTTTTTGTACTCTCCACACGTTTTTCTGTTTTGTTTGACCGTACGCGCCTTTTTCTCTTCCCCTGAAGTCTCCACGCTTCCGCCTCGAGCCGTTTGATCGGTCAGTGTATAACCGGATGGAGTTCTATCTGCCCCCCTCTCGACAGCGAACCCTAATGCTGCGGCCAGCTATCGAGCAGATAAAAAACAACGGTATACTCCCCCATAGTTCGGTTCCTATCCTCCCCCCGCCCCCCTTCAGATCAACCCGAACTCGCGGACTTCTGTCGTCAGGCGCTATCAGTTTGTAACAGGGCTATTGTTACTGCAGAGTCAAAGTCTCGAGACCCGAAAACCTATTCCCGTCATAGTTTCCGTGCAGCCACCTGGAGTCCTTCGGGCATGGACCAACTGAGAAGGTACGTGTTTAATTCCCTTCTTTGCTATTGTTTCAATATTAATGGCATTTAATAATGCCCGTGGTACAAGTCTATCGCTGTCGGCTATCGATTTTCGTCAGCCGGGCTGTCTTGTGGGGCCCCCTTAATTAAATTCGGGCTGCCTAAGGCTGCCTGAAAATAAGTTCCGCCAGCTCAAGGTCAAATTTCTGCCAATAGTAACTGTCTACTATTCTTATTGGTTAGTGAGTATCAGGAGTTTATGTTGGTCGATTTGATTATATTAAGCTCACTATAACAATGATAAGTGGCTTTAATTTATTTTCTTTTGCCAACTTTTCGTCCAATTTAACACGCAATAACAATCCCTAATCAAGTACTAAACCTATAAACACGAATTTGGTAAGGCACTTAGGCGGTCGGAATTTATTTTCAGGTGGCCTCACAACGCAGCTTTGCCATTTCGTCTGCCCTGCGGGGTATCTGTTTTACGAACTTACTAATACTCTGCTTCTTCTTTCCCCTGCGAAACCACAATAGTCGTCATTTTGATGTTGAAACTAACCCACTAACAGCTCAAATACTAGCTAACAGGCCCAGACACGTGTTTCGCCGATATTCTGCCGCTGCTTGACACAGCCGCGAGGGGTCAAGCTCATCAGTGGGTCCCTCAGCTTTCCCTGTTTGCTTTCGGGTTGATATCCCGTTTTTGAAAGTTCAGCTTTTTAATTTCCTCAGCAATTAAGTTCTGATCGCGCTATGTACCACGAGATGCGTTATAGATTTTTTTTATTAACTCAGACCTCCTTCCACCAATCCCTCCGTCATCAACAGCACCGTCTGGTTATCATGTTTTTGTCAACAGCATTACATTAATGACTACTGTCAGCCTGATAATCATGGTAATCGCAGTTATGGCCTTCAGCATCGTCATTGACAATACCCGAAGTCGAACTCGATCTCCTAATTCGTTTATCTTCTACGCTGCTTCCAGAAATATTGGTCGTGAATAATCCCCCCACCCTTTTATTGTTCACAGCACAGAACGCTAAATTTGCTTCCAGTCGAAGAGGGCTTGCTAGTCTCTGCCACTACTTAGGTTATTAGTGGCAGTTTAAATAAGCGTGGATGCTGAGCCTACCAGGCAAACCCCTCTGCAGTCAATCCTATCTCCTCTGATACTTTTTCACCTTTCAGAAATTTGGCAAGTGGCTTTTTGGCTGTATTGGGTTATAGGATCTCACATTCCTTTCTTAAGGCAGTTAGTTTTTTATAAAGAGAGAGAGAGATTTCTTCTCAAATGTATGTCTTAAACAGCATTATTTACATAAGTAGAAGATGCGACCGCTGAAACAAGAAGTTTATTTGCCTGAAGTTTCGGATTCTGTCGAAAACCCTTCGTCAGGGGTAACCGTAGAATAGGGTGATACATTCACAGATAGGGGGTGATATATGCACAGATTACGCAGTATTTATTGTTCGTAGTGGCAACGCGACCGCATGCAAACTATAATGATCACCTGCCTTAACCACCGCGGGGCGTCTTAATTGACCCGGTGATGGCTTGGCAGTCCGCTTCCGAGTCATTAATCGCCGCAATTTCGTCATCCGTTCTGAATTCGGGCTTGACAATTACGCCACAATTATGTTCGCTGTCTTCGCGGTTGTTGCTGGGTCAGGCCCTTTTCATGTAAGTGATTCTCCTGATCAGACAATGTCTCAGTACGGCAGATGGGAACGGCAGGTCGTTGCGCTTGTTGATTAACTGTGGGCGTGAGCACCATGAGTCGAGCAGCTCGCGGCTCACGTGGTTGCTACCTGCGAAGATTTCGGCCACGTTAAACTTAAAAACGTGACCGCGTTGCGTCGAGTGAGCCGCAACTTGGGAGTTAGCGTCTTTCCTCCTCACCGCTGTTGCGTGTTCGGCCATTCGCGTCTGGCGAAATCTCCCGGTTTCTCCGACGTAGTTGCTTTTTCCACAACTGCACCAGATCCGGTAAACGACTCAAGCTGTTTCCTGCCGTGGCAGTGGGTCTTTCGGCCTGATGGCTCCTGCTGGCCTGTGTGCAACTCCAACTCCCAGTGGAGTGAGAGTGTGGCTGACTGCTCCCTATACACTCTTCACGTACGGAAGAGCTCGCCAAACTTTTGGGCTGGTTGGATTTGGTCTCTTGTCTCGTCTGTCTATGCACTGGTTGACAAAATTGCGTGCGCCTTACCATTCGCTCTCATTATCGCCCGGTCATCTTATCTCTACATTTATCACAATATTCTACGATTACCTCTGATGAAGGGTTCTCGACAGAATCTGAAAAGTCAGGCGAATACACTTCTTGTTGCAGCGATCGCATATTCTAATTTTTTTGAATTTCTTTAACCCTTCTGTACTTTATTCGCCCTATATAGGTTGCAACTGCATACTAAGTGCCGTTGTCCTACATGCACGTACAGGCCGTATTATAGTATACTATCCGCTGGTCTTAGTGAGTATGATTACTAGAATTAGCACTGCTAGCATTGGCATATTAATTCTAGTAGCAGCATGCTAGTCTTCGTAGTCCAAACTTGTTAGCAACTGACACAGTTTCTTTTCTCTCTCTCTCTGACGCTATTCTAAAGGTGCATATTCTCCTGCATCACCGCAAATCACCAGCTCCTACTCTGTGCAAAATCAGCGGACGGCTGGCAAACCGTAAGTCAGTCCCGCCTCTGGTTATCCCTCTCCCACTCTCTTAGATGGTGGATGTTTCCGGCATTTGGTACGAGTGCTGGCATCATCATGGGTTGGACATGCTAGCCGAGCCCCAGCCCGGACTGAAGACCTTCGTGGACGAACTCTGCCCCCAGTCTCAGACCGATCCGGCGAGCTTCACCGAGGTCACCTACTGTCCCTCGGTGGAGGAGTACTTTTCCGGTGTACTGGACACTAGTTTTATGCAGACCTCCTGGTCACAACGTCCTCGGCAAGTGCGACTTGGCCAGAAGGAGACTACCCAAGCTGCCTTCTTTGCTGCCCTGCACAGGTCTGGCACGGTCAC